CCTGCAGACTGCTGCACCAACATCAGAAAGACTCACTCTGCCCTGATTGGATAAACTAAGCTGTGGGGTTTGTTTGATTTGTTGAAAGCAGCGTCTGTTTAAGCCTGTATCAGACTGGGCGGCTTAATGAGACAACAGAAAACAAGCAGGTTTCTCTTTTCCTCATTTACCGAAAATACCGACATGGGTAAAATGACGTCAGTTATTGTCACAAATGTCGGTATTGGTTATTTTTTGGTTTATCGCCCAGGCCTAGTCGATCGTTCATGGACGTGAAAAAATGCAACGTCCAGCGGACGTCATGGTAGTTTGTAATGGTAGGAAGTAATTTTTTGGTAAGATACTTATACTTTTAGTCTAATTAACTTTGTGGTACTTTATACAACACTGCTTTCTGATTGGCTACACGTCACATTTAACAGGCTCTGAGCTCGTTTGTTCTCAGGTGAACACCACACACCCTGTGATATCGGGCCAAAAACATCAAACATGTTAAATGTCCCTGATTTGAGGTCAGAGGGGTCCCGATGTCCTTCCTTAAGATTGTCGGAAGGGCAAAATCGGACCAGAATTCTCCTGCCGTGTGACGTAGGCCTAACATAGTGGTAAAACACAATTCATGTTTGCACAAGATAGACGGGAATGTACTCAGGTCCCAGCACAATAAAAGCAATAAATGATAACAATAACTCAAACACAGACAAAAACAATACTTGTAACAYGCACAAATAAGGAGGTAAGATTGGTGCGGGTTCACCATCAGAACTTAGCGTTACTCAAGTGGCCTGTTAAAAAATTCATGTTATTTTTATGTGAAAWTATATCACAGGGTTAGAAAGAATTGCAGTGTCAGTGTTTTCTAATGCTGTGCAGCCCTAGTTTAGAGGCAGTGTTTGGAGATATTTTGCAAACGAAGCAGACGTTCAGGAACAGGATGATGAGTCTACATCGTCGTGTAGCTCTACAGACTTAGCTATGACTGACACTTTGATGCTTGAGGAAWTAAAAAAGGTCAATAAAACTACAGTTTCAATGACGGCAAAGTAGTAAACACGGAGGAAGGTGTACATTAATTTAATTATTAGCAATTTGCTGAGAGCCACTCTACTCTCTAAACACAATGGCTAAAGGTTAACAATAAAATAACCAACATTAATCTGAATATAACCATTACATCTACTAATTTTAAGACTGCTAAACAGTTAAACTGTCTGCCAGTGAAGTAAGACAACTCACAGAGTACCCCTATGCAAAGAAAATTCACAGCATTTATATTTAAGTTCATAGGTTTGATATGCACAGCGGGTAAAATAAGTATTGAACACGTCACCATTTTTCTCAGTAAATATATTACTAGAGGTGCTAATGACATGAAATTTTCACCAGATGTCGGTAACAACCCAAGTGATCCATACATACAAAGAAATCAAACCAATTGCTAAAAGCTAAAATTTGTTAAATATGTTAGCATAAAAGTACCTAAAAACTACTATTAGAAGAAAGCAGCTAAAGTAATG